CTAATTAAAATGTGATAATATATACACTACTATTTTTTAATCACACTTTTTAAATGAGTGTGATTATATATATATATATATTTTTTAATCATACATTTTAATTCAAGTGTGATTATTTATATATTTTTTAATCATACTTTCTAATTAAAATGTGATAATATATACACTACTATTTTTTAATCACACTTTTTAAATGAGTGTGATTATATATATATATATATTTTTTAATCATACATTTTAATTCAAGTGTGATTATTTATATATTTTTTAATTACACCTTCTAATTAAAATGTGATTATATATACATTACTACTTTTTAATTACAATTTTTAAATAAGTGTGATTGTATAAAATATTCTAATTTGATTTTTATATAAAATATAGAATTTCTAAATTCGTGTCTTTATTCGCACCCATGAATGACAAAGGACGACTTTTTCTATTCTCAACAAGCACTACAAGAAATTAAGATTTTAGAGACAAATTTTTAGAAACAAAAATAATTTATCTGCAAAAATTATACTTTTAAAAACAAAATAAAAGAATTTTGAAAAAAAAAATTTAATCATATTATTACATTTTTTAGGCAAATCTATTTCATTGTAAAAGAATTAGGCCTCGTTTGGGAACAGGCTAATTTAGTAACTTTTTGGCTAATTGGCTAAAAAGGTAGGTAAAAAAAACTTGTATGTTTGGGATGACTTTTTGACTAATTACGAAAAGCTGTGCAAAAAGTAGAGAGAAGCCGTAATTGTTGACTTTTTGGTATGACTAATTGGCTAATTGACTAATTTAGTAACTTTTTGACTTTTTGGCTAAAACAGAGCCTTCCCAAACGAGGCCTTAGTGACTTTTTATCTACTATTTTAATTGGTCCCAATAAACTCAACTAATACATTATTTTATTTTATTTGTATTCTTTGAACTTCAATAGTCGGGAGATTTCATTCAAAGGCTCTGTCTATCTCTCTGTCTCTCACTCTCACTCTCACGATCGAATCCCTAATTTCCTTCTTTGTTGATTTCGATCCCTAATCTGATCTCAGAGACTCTTGATCTGCACTTTGAATCGGTGCTTTGTTGATTTCGTCCCCAAGGAGTCTCATATCGTCTCTCTCAATAGCGATTTCAGTATCTAGGCTTGATCGATTAATCGATTTCAATCTCATTGATTTGGTTTTCAATCTGTTGTTCGCATTTGTTCTTCAAAAATGCTTATTTATCGGTGTAATGTTTGTGTTGATTATGTGGTATAACGGCCTTTTCAACACTGACTCTATTCTTAAGGAACAACACCAATGGCAACAAGAGCAAGAACGCTGTAGCATCATCTATATCTCTTTGTCAGAAAACACTAAGTCCTGTTAGAATTTACCTCCACCTACCACATCCACTACCACTCACTCCACCTACCACCTCCACTATCACCTCTACCACCACTCACTAACCCAAATCCTCTCCTATATAATGCCACTCTGATTTGTAATAATATATATCAATATAACAATCTTGTATCAGATATCAATTAGATATCTATCAATAATATACATCAATTATTTAACAGACCCAATTGAGAGTTCTGAGAAGCCATGGACGAAGAGACACCACTCGTTGCTGAACACTTGGAGATTTAGGCTTGTATTTTTTTCTCACCGGCGGGCAGCCGGCCGGCAACCTTGCCTTCGCTGCCCGCTGGAATTTTTTACACATCTCCTCCGCCTCCCTTCAAACCCAGAAATTGTAAAGCCTTGCTACCAGAATCCCGTGTACTTCACTGAGCCAATTTCATCTTTACAAAAGTGTTTTGAGGATTTGGAGTATTCTTGCCTGTTGGCTCGTGCATATGAGCATGGAAAAGCGGGAAATGGTCTCCTGCGAATTCTGGATGTTGCTTCTTTTGCGGTGTCTGGATATGCTTCATCTGAAGGTTAGTCACCACCCAACAGTTGTTGCCTGCCATTGCGAAGGAAAAGGCTGGAAATTCTGGGGTGATAGTAACCTTAGAACCAAATTTTGGGGGACCCCGGCCCAGTCGCCGGCATGGCTCCCCGCGGCTCCGCCGCTGCCACCGCCGGTATGCGTCGCCGCCGCCTCGGCTCCTCCTCCTCCTCCGCTGGTGGCTCCGCTGGATTCAACGGCGGCGGCACCGGAAGCAACGCCCTCAGGTTCTACACCGACGACGCCCCAGGCCTCAAGATCAGCCCGACCGTCGTCCTCGTCATGAGCCTCTGCTTCATCGGCTTCGTCACCGCTCTCCACGTCTTCGGCAAGCTCTACCGCTACCGATCTGGTGCTCCCGGAGCTTGATTGATTTCTCTGCCCTCGATCGTCCGAGTTCGGATCCCTCGGTAATTGCCTGTCAACCCTTGTCGATTAGAGATATGATCAAGAAAGCTTCATCACCTCCAATGATCCAAACATCAAGTTCATTCAACCTAAGATCCTCTTTTGATTGACCAGTGGAAATTGCAGTTTTAAGCAGCCCTTGAGCCTCATCAAGTGCATCTTGTACTTTTATGAGAGAAGACTCAGCTTTCTGCTCTTGTTGTTTCTTTCTTATCTCTCTATCTCTCACGAGCCTTTCTAATCTACAACACAACCTCTCCACGGGTTCAGACAACCCCACTCTTCTCCTCAATAAATTATTCTTCTTTGCCACAAATCCCACTTAACTTTCTTTTTCTTTTTTTTATTATTTTACTCTATCTTTTGAAAACCCACTTAACTTTCTTTTTCTTTTTTTTTATTATTTTACTCCCTCTTTTTGAAATAAAACCGCACCACCATTGATTTGCACTTGTCTCTCCTCTCTCTCTCTCTCTCACTTTACACCCACACCCACGTTACACTTTGCTTTTATTTTAATATCTATATATTTTTTTACACCAAAAAAAAACAAAAAAAAAAAAGAATAATATCTATATCTACCATTGTTCGTGAGCATCACTTTTTTCCTTTCTCTTCTTTTTATTTTTATTTTTTTTTTTTATATATTCCACCTCTCAAAATGTTTTTCATATCACCCATCCGGCACACATGGTTCTGAGTTCCAAAAAAAAAAAAATAAATAAATAAATAAAAAAAAATATATAAAAAAAATAATAATAAAAAAAAAACAGACGAAGATGACCTGCACACCAAACTCCTTTTATTCATGTCGGGGCTCACCCCGTTCACCATTTTACATCAAAAAAAAAAAAAAAAACCAAAAACACCGTTATGACACCACCATCCAGTGTCCTCTACACCGTTATGACACCACCATCCAGTGTCCTCTACACCGTTATGACACCACCATCCAGTGTCCTCTACACCGTTATGACACCACCATCCAGTGTCCTCTACACCGTTATGACACCACCATCCAGTGTCCTCTACACCGTTATGACACCACCATCCAGTGTCCTCTACACCGTTATGACACCACCATCCAGTGTCCTCTACACCGTTATGACACCACCATCCAGTGTCCTCTACACCGTTATGACACCACCATCCAGTGTCCTCTACACCGTTATGACACCACCATCCAGTGTCCTCTACACCGTTATGACACCACCATCCAGTGTCCTCTACACCGTTATGACACCACCATCCAGTGTCCTCTACACCGTTATGACACCACCATCCAGTGTCCTCTACACCGTTATGACACCACCATCCAGTGTCCTCTACACCGTTATGACACCACCATCCAGTGTCCTCTACACCGTTATGACACCACCATCCAGTGTCCTCTACACCGTTATGACACCACCATCCAGTGTCCTCTACACCGTTATGACACCACCATCCAGTGTCCTCTACACCGTTATGACACCACCATCCAGTGTCCTCTACACCGTTATGACACCACCATCCAGTGTCCTCTACACCGTTATGACACCACCATCTAGTGTCCTCTACACCGTTATGACACCACCATATAGTGTCCTCTACACCGTTATGACACCACCATATAGTGTCCTCTACACCGTTATGACACCACCATATAGTGTCCTCTACACCGTTATGACACCACCATATAGTGTCCTCTACACCGTTATGACACCACCATATAGTGTCCTCTACACCGTTATGACACCACCATATAGTGTCCTCTACACCGTTATGACACCACCATATAGTGTCCTCTACACCGTTATGACACCACCATATAGTGTCCTCTACACCGTTATGACACCACCATATAGTGTCCTCTACACCGTTATGACACCACCATATAGTGTCCTCTACACCGTTATGACACCACCATATAGTGTCCTCTACACCGTTATGACACCACCATCCAGTGTCCTCTACACCGTTATGGCACACCCATCCAGTGTCCTCTACCACGTTATGGCACCACCTTTCAGAGTCTTCACCAACGGTCTGACACGACCATACAGTGTCTCCTATCTTTTTTTTTATTTTTATGTATTTTCTTGTTTCTTTTTATGTATTTTCTTGTTTTGTTCCTCTCTTCAAACTCAAGTTGGTTAGTTTCTATCCTCCTTAAGTTTGCGGGGGGCTGTTAGAATTTACCTCCACCTACCACATCCACTACCACTCACTCCACCTACCACCTCCACTATCACCTACACCTACTACCATCTTCTCTTCTATATATAGGAGTTATATAGGAGTTGTAATATATCAATTAGATATCTATCAATAATATACATCAATTATTTAACAAGTCCGACCTTGGAACTGAAGGAATTGGCCTCTTCGCTCTTGGACTTCACCAAGCGCCATCTCGATTGCTTGTATATGGAGATCCTCAAGGACCTTGAGCCTCTCTCTCTCTCTCTCTCTCGTCTTCATAAATGATTAAAGGTATCTGTCTCTCTCTCTCTCTAAAATTTTATCATGATGTGCTCTAATTGCTTGATCAAAATTTCACCATAGAACTATAGGTTGAGTTCTGATTGTTCTGTCTGTGTGAGCACACGCGAGTGTGTTCTCCTCTGCATTGTTATTATTATTATTTGTAATCTCGAGTTCATTTCCAGAAAGAAAAAAAAATAAAAAAATTGCAGAATGAGAGTTTGAAATGTTAGATTAAATTTTGTGAGATGAACTGAATTGTCATTGGGAAAGAAAAGTATCATGGTGAGAAACTCTGTACAGTTTAAACTTATAGATGCTTCTTGCTTGCTCTTACTTTTTCTTTAAATACCATCACGACAAGGCCTTAATGGCATAGTTTTGTTATGGGACAATGATTAAAGTTTGTTTGTGAAGAATGGAAGAAAGAATTATGCAGCTAGCAATGAGAATATATTGGAAAATATTAACAAGAGTTATGATATTTTTATCTAAGCAATTAAAGATTTTACATGGAAGAGTGTTGTTTGCGTTGAAATATCAATATGGAATCTCATCTTCCTAAATAGCATGTCAGCATCGCAGAATAAGGTAAGCGGTTGGTGTCAGGAAGAGTTTAAAAGTACAGGAGGAGAGCATATGGAGTTTGAGATGTTTTAGGTCTCGAACTACTTTGATGCTGTAATAAAAAGGTGTTTGATTTTCATTTTAAAAATGAGATTTCATATCCTTGTTTTTATTTTTATCTAATATATATGTAATAGATAGTGTACATGTAACTTCAAAAATTGGCGGCGAGTTAAAGATTATGACATATTAATACTGAATTATTGTCCTAAGATTATGCAAAGAGGCTGAGAATTGCAGAGAGGCATTGTTCTTATGAGGGGCTGTGAGCATTTTTCATGCAGGATTTGCCATTGGTTCCGGTTTGGACATGAATTGAGGCTTTTCGAATGGCTTCTCTGCAATTTTTTTATTTTTTATTTTTAAACATATTGAAAAGCTAATAGATTTTCAATTACTGAAAAATTTAACACTATACATAACATGGTTTGAAATTGGGTGGAAAATATTTCCATTGAGAAGGTTTTTATATCTTCTTTCTCTAGTTCAATGGATAAACTAACATATTAATTATGAGTTTTAAGAACCTTTTTTTAACTGTTTCTTGTTAAATATAAGGACTTTGTAATGTGACTAGGATTGATCACTTAAATTGGTGACATTGATTTTCCACCAGAAAATGGAGATCTGGATTGGATCTCAATTTTGAAGGATGTGAATCCAAGTAATAGAAACTTGCAAGTAACTTTATTTCCCTAAAATGTCCTTTCTTTGTGATTTTCTCTTCTAAAGTGTCTTCAGTTATTCCACTTCATACAGTCCCCAAAACAAAAACAAAAATAAAAAATAAAAACCATTTCTGCTAAAATATGAAAAAGTAAGATCAAGGCTATTTTGATAATCACCTAAGAACAATAACCCATCTCTACAAAATTCAAAAAGTTATTTCAAAAACATGCTTTCCAGTGAAGTCTTGTGATTTCATGGTCTCAGCTTCACAAAATGAGGTGTGAACCCCGAAATATTTAGGAATTGATTGGGGTTCTTGAAGTGATGTACTAATCATTTGACTGTTACGATCTTTCTATTTATGGATCCATATCTCTTTGTTATGGGGCCAAGACTATGAGATTATCTCTCTATCAACAGATTATTGTGATTCAATATTTGACCTAAATACGCAAATGTAGGTAGAAGGAGTAACTACACTAATTCACTCAACACAAGTGTCATGGGATAACACTCTGGACCATGCATCATATTTCAGAGTTGGCAAGGTATTTGAGTTTACTAACCAATTAGAATTGTGAATAATATAGAATAGAATTGTGATAAATAAGTCGAAATTCTATATCATAATATATCGTATTGCTAGATTTATTGTTCTGTTTTATAATATTCAAGTTCTTGTGAAGCTCTTTTTGGTTGTAGATTGTGGAGGCAAAAGTTCACCTAGTGCTGAGGCCCTTGCCACTAACAAGGTTTGGAGAGTTTAACCGTCTGGAGAGTTTAACCTTCTGTACACCCCGGAAAAATGAATGCCCAAAAACATGAATACATGAATCTGTCAGTCTGTAGGTGATGGGGGTTCCCAGCATCTATGGCGATGCAAGTTTTCCATGCCCTTAGAAGTGATAGGTTCGAGTAAGCCAGTAAGCAGCACTGGTATAGAACTTTCTGAATTTATCTTTTTGTATCCAGATAAAATTTTCTGATACTCTTTTATTTTATTTTATCCATAATTTTTGTGATCAGTAAAGTTATTAGAAAAAAACAAAGGGGGCAGAGCATAAGCATTTGTGACACATATGAGTAAACATAAAAAGCTATAAACCCTTGATAAAACAACATAATCCTAATTCTCCACAATATTGAAGTCTTAGGAAATAAGTTTAACCTTCCAGTCCTCAAAAAAAAAAAAGAAAAAGAAGAAGCTTCTTGCACTGATGCAAGCAAGCCCCATCATTTACAGATTGATGAGGCTTGCTTGCACCGAAAAAAGTTACCTCTCTCTTTTGCTCTCTTGTTTGTCGTACTGCAGTTGCTTGAAGCAGCTTGTTGTCTTACAAACATAGCGGCAGGAAAGCCAGAAGAAACTAAAGCTTTGTTGACTGCTTACCATTGCTCATTGCTAATCTTGGAGGTTAGTGATGGTTTCTGCATTTTCCATTCAATGTGAAAGAATGTAAATGTTTCTTTCTTTTACTTATCAGAAAAAGTAAATGTTTTTTCTTGTTCTTCTTCCTTTTGTGTGTAGTATTTTTTTCTTTCTCCATTTCCTCTTCATAAATTAATACCAGAAAGTTGTTATGGCTTTATGAGACCTAAGAGTGACTGACAGTAATTAAAGATACTAGGTTAAGTACTATACATTGAAGTTGGATTACATAACCAAGTAATTAAAGATACCAGGTTAACACTCAAATATTGGAACTGTGGGGGATTGTTCATTTGTTTGCTCTTTTGGAGTTGACCCATCTTGACTTGGTATATTAATTGTTTTTCTTTCTCTACCTTGATCTGAGCTTTAATTCTTGTTGGGATTTAGTTTAGTTTACTCTCTCTGTTGATGTGTTGCTGTAATAATTTTTTGATAAAATCTTTTCAAGGCTATGATTTACTAATGTGTTTATATATACTGTTCAATCATGCTCCATAGGCTACAGGAAAACCAGTCTTCATATAAAGAGTGAGGGTAATATTGATAAATCCAAATTCAGTAACCTTTTGTTATTTCATAATTGGATAGTGAACCAATTATGCAGTTCTTTTTTCTTTTATTTATTTATTTTTTAATTTCAAATTAGTTGGATTATGAATCAATGGAAGTCGAGTTAAGTTGAGTTCTTGTTTGCTAGAAATACCATGTTTAGAGTGATTTGGTGAGAAATGAGGATTAGTTGGATTATGAATCAATGGAAGTCGAGTTAAGTTGAGTTCTTGTTTGCTAGAAATACCATGTTTAGAGTGATTTGGTGAGAAATGAGGATTAGTTGGATTATGAATCAATGGAAGTCGAGTTAAGTTGAGTTCTTGTTTGCTAGAAATACCATGTTTAGAGTGATTTGGTGAGAAATGAGGATTAGTTGGATTATGAATCAATGGAAGTCGAGTTAAGTTGAGTTCTTGTTTGCTAGAAATACCATGTTTAGAGTGATTTGGTGAGAAATGAGGATTAGTTGGATTATGAATCAATGGAAGTCGAGTTAAGTTGAGTTCTTGTTTGCTAGAAATACCATGTTTAGAGTGATTTGGTGAGAAATGAGGATTAGTTGGATTATGAATCAATGGAAGTCGAGTTAAGTTGAGTTCTTGTTTGCTAGAAATACCATGTTTAGAGTGATTTGGTGAGAAATGAGGATTAGTTGGATTATGAATCAATGGAAGTCGAGTTAAGTTGAGTTCTTGTTTGCTAGAAATACCATGTTTAGAGTGATTTGGTGAGAAATGAGGATTAGTTGGATTATGAATCAATGGAAGTCGAGTTAAGTTGAGTTCTTGTTTGCTAGAAATACCATGTTTAGAGTGATTTGGTGAGAAATGAGGATTAGTTGGATTATGAATCAATGGAAGTCGAGTTAAGTTGAGTTCTTGTTTGCTAGAAATACCATGTTTAGAGTGATTTGGTGAGAAATGAGGATTAGTTGGATTATGAATCAATGGAAGTCGAGTTAAGTTGAGTTCTTGTTTGCTAGAAATACCATGTTTAGAGTGATTTGGTGAGAAATGAGGATTAGTTGGATTATGAATCAATGGAAGTCGAGTTAAGTTGAGTTCTTGTTTGCTAGAAATACCATGTTTAGAGTGATTTGGTGAGAAATGAGGATTAGTTGGATTATGAATCAATGGAAGTCGAGTTAAGTTGAGTTCTTGTTTGCTAGAAATACCATGTTTAGAGTGATTTGGTGAGAAATGAGGATTAGTTGGATTATGAATCAATGGAAGTCGAGTTAAGTTGAGTTCTTGTTTGCTAGAAATACCATGTTTAGAGTGATTTGGTGAGAAATGAGGATTAGTTGGATTATGAATCAATGGAAGTCGAGTTAAGTTGAGTTCTTGTTTGCTAGAAATACCATGTTTAGAGTGATTTGGTGAGAAATGAGGATTAGTTGGATTATGAATCAATGGAAGTCGAGTTAAGTTGAGTTCTTGTTTGCTAGAAATACCATGTTTAGAGTGATTTGGTGAGAAATGAGGATTAGTTGGATTATGAATCAATGGAAGTCGAGTTAAGTTGAGTTCTTGTTTGCTAGAAATACCATGTTTAGAGTGATTTGGTGAGAAATGAGGATTAGTTGGATTATGAATCAATGGAAGTCGAGTTAAGTTGAGTTCTTGTTTGCTAGAAATACCATGTTTAGAGTGATTTGGTGAGAAATGAGGATTAGTTGGATTATGAATCAATGGAAGTCGAGTTAAGTTGAGTTCTTGTTTGCTAGAAATACCATGTTTAGAGTGATTTGGTGAGAAATGAGGATTAGTTGGATTATGAATCAATGGAAGTCGAGTTAAGTTGAGTTCTTGTTTGCTAGAAATACCATGTTTAGAGTGATTTGGTGAGAAATGAGGATTAGTTGGATTATGAATCAATGGAAGTCGAGTTAAGTTGAGTTCTTGTTTGCTAGAAATACCATGTTTAGAGTGATTTGGTGAGAAATGAGGATTAGTTGGATTATGAATCAATGGAAGTCGAGTTAAGTTGAGTTCTTGTTTGCTAGAAATACCATGTTTAGAGTGATTTGGTGAGAAATGAGGATTAGTTGGATTATGAATCAATGGAAGTCGAGTTAAGTTGAGTTCTTGTTTGCTAGAAATACCATGTTTAGAGTGATTTGGTGAGAAATGAGGATTAGTTGGATTATGAATCAATGGAAGTCGAGTTAAGTTGAGTTCTTGTTTGCTAGAAATACCATGTTTAGAGTGATTTGGTGAGAAATGAGGATTAGTTGGATTATGAATCAATGGAAGTCGAGTTAAGTTGAGTTCTTGTTTGCTAGAAATACCATGTTTAGAGTGATTTGGTGAGAAATGAGGATTAGTTGGATTATGAATCAATGGAAGTCGAGTTAAGTTGAGTTCTTGTTTGCTAGAAATACCATGTTTAGAGTGATTTGGTGAGAAATGAGGATTAGTTGGATTATGAATCAATGGAAGTCGAGTTAAGTTGAGTTCTTGTTTGCTAGAAATACCATGTTTAGAGTGATTTGGTGAGAAATGAGGATTAGTTGGATTATGAATCAATGGAAGTCGAGTTAAGTTGAGTTCTTGTTTGCTAGAAATACCATGTTTAGAGTGATTTGGTGAGAAATGAGGATTAGTTGGATTATGAATCAATGGAAGTCGAGTTAAGTTGAGTTCTTGTTTGCTAGAAATACCATGTTTAGAGTGATTTGGTGAGAAATGAGGATTAGTTGGATTATGAATCAATGGAAGTCGAGTTAAGTTGAGTTCTTGTTTGCTAGAAATACCATGTTTAGAGTGATTTGGTGAGAAATGAGGATTAGTTGGATTATGAATCAATGGAAGTCGAGTTAAGTTGAGTTCTTGTTTGCTAGAAATACCATGTTTAGAGTGATTTGGTGAGAAATGAGGATTAGTTGGATTATGAATCAATGGAAGTCGAGTTAAGTTGAGTTCTTGTTTGCTAGAAATACCATGTTTAGAGTGATTTGGTGAGAAATGAGGATTAGTTGGATTATGAATCAATGGAAGTCGAGTTAAGTTGAGTTCTTGTTTGCTAGAAATACCATGTTTAGAGTGATTTGGTGAGAAATGAGGATTAGTTGGATTATGAATCAATGGAAGTCGAGTTAAGTTGAGTTCTTGTTTGCTAGAAATACCATGTTTAGAGTGATTTGGTGAGAAATGAGGATTAGTTGGATTATGAATCAATGGAAGTCGAGTTAAGTTGAGTTCTTGTTTGCTAGAAATACCATGTTTAGAGTGATTTGGTGAGAAATGAGGATTAGTTGGATTATGAATCAATGGAAGTCGAGTTAAGTTGAGTTCTTGTTTGCTAGAAATACCATGTTTAGAGTGATTTGGTGAGAAATGAGGATTAGTTGGATTATGAATCAATGGAAGTCGAGTTAAGTTGAGTTCTTGTTTGCTAGAAATACCATGTTTAGAGTGATTTGGTGAGAAATGAGGATTAGTTGGATTATGAATCAATGGAAGTCGAGTTAAGTTGAGTTCTTGTTTGCTAGAAATACCATGTTTAGAGTGATTTGGTGAGAAATGAGGATTAGTTGGATTATGAATCAATGGAAGTCGAGTTAAGTTGAGTTCTTGTTTGCTAGAAATACCATGTTTAGAGTGATTTGGTGAGAAATGAGGATTAGTTGGATTATGAATCAATGGAAGTCGAGTTAAGTTGAGTTCTTGTTTGCTAGAAATACCATGTTTAGAGTGATTTGGTGAGAAATGAGGATTAGTTGGATTATGAATCAATGGAAGTCGAGTTAAGTTGAGTTCTTGTTTGCTAGAAATACCATGTTTAGAGTGATTTGGTGAGAAATGAGGATTAGTTGGATTATGAATCAATGGAAGTCGAGTTAAGTTGAGTTCTTGTTTGCTAGAAATACCATGTTTAGAGTGATTTGGTGAGAAATGAGGATTAGTTGGATTATGAATCAATGGAAGTCGAGTTAAGTTGAGTTCTTGTTTGCTAGAAATACCATGTTTAGAGTGATTTGGTGAGAAATGAGGATTAGTTGGATTATGAATCAATGGAAGTCGAGTTAAGTTGAGTTCTTGTTTGCTAGAAATACCATGTTTAGAGTGATTTGGTGAGAAATGAGGATTAGTTGGATTATGAATCAATGGAAGTCGAGTTAAGTTGAGTTCTTGTTTGCTAGAAATACCATGTTTAGAGTGATTTGGTGAGAAATGAGGATTAGTTGGATTATGAATCAATGGAAGTCGAGTTAAGTTGA